AAAAACACCCAGAAATAATTATTACGGTTTTGTCCATAAGTCGAAGCTGCAAAAAGTTTTCCAAACATTTTTGCAAAGCGGTCAAGGAGGCGAGTGTACCAATAAAATGTATCTTATTATTTTTCACAAAAAATACCTGAAGATTGTCAGTAACTTAAGTAAAACTAAAAAATAATGCGATTTTTGCGTAGAAAAAAGTGCTTAATAGAAACTTTGATAATACTGGAATGACCTGAAAATTTAAAGCAACTTTAAAAATCTGATTGATTGTAAAATTTTTACAAAATTTATCTTGCAATTTTTCGCGTAAAAGACTTCGTAAAGATCGTCAGTATTTTTAAGTGAAACTCTACAAAATACAGCGTTTTTGAGAAAGTAAAGCAAAAAAAATTCAGTCGAAACTAAAAAACCTCATTTTTTTTAACAAACTACAGTGTTCAGAGGTATAGAGGTGACGAGATTTCCAAATAATCTGTTGCAAACTTTCGTCCATTCTATTCGTTTTTTGATAGGAAATGATTTGATTTTTGTTCCAAATTTGAAGCTGGAAAGGGATTTCAAAACTTTGTTAAAACTGGAATGACCTGAAAATTTAACGGAACTTTAAAAATCTTCAAAGCGATGAGCGATGGGCGGCTAATTTTCCAAATAATTTTTTGTACACTTTTGCTCTCTTGTCGTTTTACAACATAATCCTAATTACTTTCAGTAAAAAACTGAATAAAATTATATGGTTTTTGTGCCAGATTCGAAACTACAATGGGTTTTCTAAAGTTCTCTGCAAACCGATGAATGAGACGAATTTTCTAGGAAAAATTAATTTTGTAATTTTTGGCTGAAAGGACCCCATTATTGTCAGAAAATTATGTTTTTTTGAGTTTTCGATTAAAAACTTTTAGTTTTGTGATTGTGGAGCAAACCTTAATGATTATCGGGAAAAAACGGGAGAAATTTATTTTTGTTTTTGCCCCGAATTCGACACCGAAAAAAGTTTTTGTAAACTTTTTATAACATTTATCTTGTAATTTTTCTCGTAAAAGACTTCCAGATCGTCAGTATTTTTAAGTGAAACTATAAAATACAGCGTTTTTGAGCAGAAAGTAAAGCAAAAAAAAACAGTAAAAACTAAAAAACTACATTTCTTTAACAAACTCTACAGTATTTTTTCAGCCGGTCCAAATTCGAAGCCCGAAAGGGATTTCAAAACTTTTTACAAAGCGACGAAGGATTCGAAATTTATTTCATCATTTTTCGCGGAAAATACCTTAAGATTGTCAGCATTTTTAAGTGAAACTTCAGAAAATTGAGCATTTGAAAGAAAGAGCAACTTGACTGAAACTGGAAAATTCTGAAATTTTGAAGAAACATTATTAATCAATGGCTCAATAAATGTGAAAACAAGTAAAAAGTCAAACATTTTCCCAGCGACGGAACTGAGTTACTGCGCCGGTGCGTTGAGTTGGCGCACGAGGCCATTGCGCGACCACTGCGCCAACTCCTAAAAATTCACTGAGTTACCCAGGCCTGATGCATCCGATGAACCAAGCCTCCAGCCCCCGAACTCTACATTTTTAAATGACAACCCCGTAAATAGAGGGTTGGGGTATATTAGTTGATACATAAATTTGGCTTCCCCTGCGTATAATTGAAATGGTTCTGTGCGGGATATGCAACCTTTGTAGACCCAAAATAATTTGTGGTCGGTTGCCAAATCACGCATCACTGGATTGCTTTAAAAAAGTGGACTGTATGTTTGAGTGAAACTAGGGTAAGCTGCTTTAATTGTGTATTTGCAAGTTACCACTATAAATTATAACCGAACTCTTCGATGGTTGAAGTGAGAGAGAGAGTGAAGGGTACGACTTCCAGACTAGGCGTCCCTCGGGATGACAGTAAAAAATAAGCAGGCCGCCATCTAGGCGAATAGATTCGACTCAGATGGACGGAACAAACAAAGATTGCTAATATAGAATAACAATGTTAGTCAAAATGGCAATTATAAAGTAATGAGCGCAAACGGGTTCCGAGGAATTTTGCGGTTTTTTTGCAAATTTTCAAATTGTCACAGTGTATATTGTCTGTTGTAGATATAAACAATTTATACGGAGGAGTGGCCACGCCCCTAGCGATGTTGCACGGCAACAACATCAGGCCAAAGCACATTCAACTGCAAAACCGCCAAACATCGCGCGACGACACATTCAGGAACGTGATGAGGTTACCGCCTTTGCGGGAATCAAACCACCGCGACCACGGATTGGGCAGTTGCGAAAACGAGCCGCTGCTTCCAGAGGCAATGGCGAAACTGAACGGGAGAAACGGCAAAAAAGAGGACGGTCTGCCGCCGCCCCCATTGCCGCCGCATAAAGGCTCCTTCCCCCCAGCGAACAATTCGAGGCAGCCCGACATGAGGTACAATCCCCCTTGGCCCCGACCTCAGCAACCCTTCGTCGCCATAAACCCAGCTTCTGTAGATAACATTAAGCCGTACTTAAAGCCACTTCCTAAGCCTCCCGGTAAAGAGTCTCCTAATAGGCACCAGAGAAAACTCCACAACCCCAGTCCTGCACCTCATCAATTGAGTCATGCTAGTCCGCCCATGCCCAGGCACAATTTGATGAATGTAGTGCATCAGAGGGCTACGCCCGACGAAATGATCAGAAGCAGAGGGCAGCCGTTGCACAGCAGTCCGCTGCATGGCAGAAAGAGCCCTAGGAGGCACAGCCCCTTGCAGCGCCACTATTCAGATGAGAGCTTGGGGGGGTTGTATGGCAATGCGGGGGCTCCTCAGAGAATACATTCATCAGCTGATGAAATCAGCTCGCTGAACCACTCGCCTAGCATCAGCAGCTCAGATGAGAGTTACAGCAGGACCACTGATGCAGACGCTTCGCCTTGCGTCAGTCCTCCGCTGCCTGCCGATACACAACAGTTCCTTTTCCCTTCGGATATCCAGGTGAATCCTTTGTCGTCGCCGGAAGTTTCTCCTAGAACTTCTTTGGACTATATTCCGCCCAACTGCTCGCTGCGGGCCGACAGTCGATCCAATGTGAAGAGGAATTTGCCTCCCAGTGCCGTGCTGGCCATAGCAGCCACCTGCAATACGGTGGATTCTTCGATTATCACCAGCCCGCCCTGTTTGGACGGGGAGGACAGCTATAGAGGCGAAAGTTGCGCCAGCTTCGAGTTCGTGCTGAAGTCCAAGCCAAAGCCGGCGGCTCTACTGAGAGCCACGAGCGCAAATGGCGGTGGACCCAACAAACCGCTTTTCAAGCAAAGAAGCCTGGATAACAAGCGAGTTCGGAACGACAGCGACTCCATACTGGAATGCAACAAGCTGTCGGCCAATTGCAAGCGCTCACCCAGCTTCAAGGAGGCGGAAGAGATCAGGGAACTGCTTCGGGAGGAGAATAGCAAACGGGACGGCAGTTGCCAAACCGACAAGAAGGACCTGCGCAAGTTGCGCACCTCTCCACTAACGTTCCGCGATAACATAATGAAAGTTACCAATCTGGACCACTGTGATAATACTGTAGGGCCATTCGAGCGCGAAATCCAGAAGCTACTGGACGAGCAGAACCTGCTGCAAAACATCCCGCCCAAGCTGGAGAACCAGCAGAACAAAGACCTGGCGCTGGAGCCGCTGGTCAGGTACGCTCCCAACAATAATAATCACCAGGTGGGGCTAGCTGCCATTCAAGCGCTAGCTCTCGGGCTGCGGGTCAACCCCACTGGCAGTGTTACCCTTCAGTGCATGTCCCCAACGCGAGCAAGCAGCAAAGAGGGGTCTCTTAAGCGAGGGGCGTCGCCCGGACCGTCCGAATCAAATAAACTACCCAAAGTGTCGCCTCTGGACAGGTATTTTACTTAGAAATTCACTGGGAAAACACTAACTTTAAATGGTTATGGGTTCTGTTGTTAGATGGATGGCAACGTACAAGGGTTATTCATGTTTCAGCTGTACAATTTTCCGAAACTTGTAACTAAAATATAAACATCTTCTCTTCTTCACCGGCGTTGAAAGTTAACAAAAATATGCCAAACACTGATACTTTAGCGCTCATTTCCATGCCCCGGCCTACCCGATTTAGAACTAACCGTTGTATGTTGCTCATTCTGGAACCATAGATTAGTTTAAACACACTGATCCATGCTGCTTGCTCACTAATCACACGCTGCTAATTATTTGTTTTAGAATTTAGTCTCATTCGGGTTTACTTTTTTTGGATCGAAAACTCAAAAGCACCTAGTTTTACTTAAAAAAAATCGAAAAATTGCGCTTTACTTTCGTCAATGCATGGGTGCTTTAACATCGCTACACTCATCACATTGACCAAGCAACAAAATGCAAAGTGGTCAACTTTTCAGAGCACCCAGAAGCACCGAAGAGCCTGACTTAGACTGTGATATGCCGGAGGCGAGGCCTCACTTAGCGGACGACGATACCGACTTGGAGAGTTTTGAGCGCGAGGAGAAACGCTTGGAGGAGGAGGCTGCCCAGGTGAGTAAATAATTTTCTCAATAAAACAATCTCAAATGCAAAAATCTTATCATTAAAAAACATGCAAGTATTTCAACAAAAGTGCAGAATATGCAGATGCAAATGCAAAATATTACGTATTTTTTCTGTTTGTTTCGTGCAGCGATTGAGCAAGGAATTGGTAAACACGCGCCTAATCAGCAGCGGAAAATTGCCTTCTCAACGGTTTCTTTTGCAGGAAGCCGAAGTTAAGCGGTTGCTCGAGGAGAAAATCCATGAAAAGCTCAGAAATCTTGAGTCTGCTGGTGGACAGGACCAACCAATGTCTGCAACATCTGCAGCTCCCGCTCCAGAAGGAAGGCAAGTAGTATCCAGAAAAACGACATTTGGTGTAATTTTGCAAAACTTTCTTTTCCGACACACTTCAGCGTGTCGGAATGGTCTGAAGATGAAGACGGCGGTGCTTCAGAGCCGCTGCTAAACGACAGAGAAAGTACGGGCTATACCACTGATGATCCAGCATTGGAGAACATCAGCATGATCAATGAGGCCGGATTAACTGATGCCGAAGGTATTTTCAATGTTTTATGCGAAAATGTTGTTGCTTAACAGTTTGAAACAGGTGCGTTGAGTGACGTGAACTCCGCCTACAATGATCACAACCAGGATGGCGACATGGATGACAACACCAGCATGTCCTCCAGAGCCTCATCCAGAATATTCGATTCAGATGCGATGATGTCGCTGGACTCACTGAGTGCCATGTACGATTCCGAGTACGATAACTGTTACAGGACGGATGACGACTTGAATGCTATGCCCGATCTGGATAGATTGAACTATTTCTCAGTGCCTGTTAGCGATGTTCATCTAGCGAACATTCGATCCATGAGCGAAAGCATTACGCGAAACTTTGGTCAGCCACGTAGCGAAACTGATCCTGATAGTGATGTGTAACTGAAACTCCCTCGATTTCATTTGACCACTACAAAAGAAGTACTTCTGGATATTATTTTACCTCAAGGTGATTTTCGCCTGACGTTTCGCTTGTTAATACAGCAGATATATTCTTTGAAAATATTTGTTGTGAATAAGGGAACAATATTTGCAACATTTACCAGACTTATACGTTCATTCACTGTTAAGGAAAATCGTGCCTGTAAAATATACGACATTTTCGTAACCATCTAGGGTTAAGCATTTAAATGTACATATTATTTATCTTTCGTGGACATGTGTTTGGTGCTTTATATTATATACATTATGTAAACTTGGACTGACTATTGTGATTCTAATGGTATTACGAAATATGCGGCTCTCTCTACATTATTATTACCGAAGAACAGGATGTTACTTTTGGTCGAAGTTTACCAAAGAATTTCATTTTCTACTACTCTATAGGTCTAGTGCTTGTTACTTCCATTTTTTTAAACATGTTGCCAAGCCTTGGTTGACTTGCTAGATATTTTTTTGTTAGTTTAAGACGCTGCGGCGAACCCAATTTAATGTTAATTTTCAACTAGTAGTGCAATACTCAAGGGATATGTAGGAACGAGCAGAATTTCGAAATCTGAATTTTCTTGATTTGTTTTTTCGTTTATTGTTTCAACTAGAGCGTGTTTCTTGTGTGCAATACTCATATGTTATCGTTGGCTACTTACATTTCTATTAAGCTAACATTCTGATATTAATGTGTAATTTATTATGAATACCTATTTATCAGGAAATTTTGCTACCGGAAAATGCGCTTTTCGATGTATTGTCGAAAAGCGTTTTTAGAGCTACAACTATTGTAAAAAACCATATACATTCGATCACATTACTAGACTAATTCATAATCGGTGATAAAACACTTTACTTGTAAATAAAGAATTACTTTCAAATTTTATTGGGGGTTTTAATCAATTCTAGAAACTATCCTTGACCCTGCTTAGCAGATGCAATTAGCTGCACGGTAGCTAATTCCGCTCGCATATCCTTGACTGGAAAATTAGCAAAAAACTGAATTCAGTTCTAACGGAATGGTAAGTGATCAGGCACAGGAAGTGGTTTGGAACCCATCAGTAACTAAGTGTAAACGAAACTGTTTGGTTGTAAATTTACGCTCGATATCAGTGCCCATTCTAAAGCAGAAGAGGTAAAAAGTACTTCTAAGTCTAATTTTATGAAGCCAAGTAATTTTAAAGAATTAAGTCAAGATTTGTCGGAAAGTGCGAAAAATACGGCATTTTTACCGCTGTTTTGCCCAGCTATAACTAGATGATCGATGATGAACTAAGATTATTAAAATTATTGATGTGTAATTTTTCAACAACTTAAAGATGGAATCAAGTTGCTAGAGTATAAATCGGTCAAGGCTGAACCAATTGATGCATAATGTCACGTTTTTTTTATAGTCATGATAATAAGTGTACTTAGTTTGTAATCGATTTATTCGTAATCACTTCATTGCTTCAGGAAAAAAAACTGCTAAATAAATCAAAAGTTGGCGAACGGAAGTTTTCATTAAAAAACTGAACCGACATTTGGAGATTATCACTTGTGAGCAATGGAGAAACAGCAAACGGTTTAGTCATTATTTCAGAAAAGTTTGCAAAGGAAAAGTTGTTTTTGGCCTTTTTTTAAGAAATGTGAGATTTGGATTTCCAGTTTTATCGAATAGCATTATTATTTCGTCGAGAAAGTGACCTTATGAAGAACTTGCTATTTAGGCGGGCGCGTTTATAGAACATTTTCTACACGCGCTTTCGAGTAAAGACTTGTTGATAAGTGACGAAAGTTTGTGCTTTCTCGAGCTGACATTTTCGCATTTCAATTTTACCCAATTACACGCTATTTTTTCATTTCAGATAAAAGTAAGACCACTACGCATTTATTCTGCTTGATATGAAATCAGTAAAATACTGACAAAGCCACACGCAAATTTTAACATTTTCCAGGATTTGAAGGAAAAAGCATTGGTGGAAATTTAAAGGCTGTATTCCTAATGTTACTTAATCCTAAATTAGGTCGTTAAACTGAAATCTGCTTTCTAAGAGAATATTAGTTGTTTCCAGTTGATTTAATACGCCTTAAAAGCCTTTTTGCGCTATATCGCACCGATTCCATATAGGGATATCCTCTAGCAATTACGCCAAGTCATTTTGAACAAAATTTGAATGATTAATGATGATTATGATTTAATGACGGACATTTATTCTAGTTGCTTAAATAATAGAACTCATACATTAAATGCTAGTCTTTCGGACATCTCTCGGGTCTCCAAAATTTTGTGACTGTTAAATGCGTTTCTTCTGTAAAAGGAAAAGGAGAATAATGAAATTAATATCTTTGTATGCAGGTTTTAAACCCCTAAAAGGAGAGCTATAACTAGTTGCAATTGAGCCGCAATCCAAAAATTTCCTACTTTATATGACTGGAATTTCATAAATTATATTTTATTTGCATTTGGGTTAAAGGGAACATTAGAAGAACATAAGGTTTTTGAAAGAGTCTTATTGTTCATTGAAAATTATTATTTTTCTATTACGCGGCTGATTTTTGAGCATTTTTGAAAATATTTTACAAATTGGCGAACGAGTTTATGGATCATGTTCTACACTTATTTTTGAGTAGATTAGCCGTGTTGGGAAGATCGACCGATCGATCGAATATTTGTATTCGGATACATAAGTTTATGATAATTAATGCCTCAAATTTTATTGATATTATTTGTCTTATTACCTGTTTTTGTTAATTTTATTTATATTTCCCTTCTTCGATTTCATTATATTAGGGTTGTAGGTTCGTTCTGTCCTGATTTTTATATTCAATTGAACACAATAAAAAATGGAACCTACCATGAAGCTGCTCTTTTCGCAACCAAAACGCCCATTAATATATTTGTAAATTCCGCAAAACTCTGAAGAAAACTTCCATATTTTTGTAACCTCAAAATTGACACATCAAAGTCAAAACGTTCAGTTCCGACAGTAAAACGTCAGACCGTTTTAAAAAAATCACGTTTTACAACTGAAATCGCACTTTCCAGCTGCTAGAAACTGCAAAACGGTAAAACACAACCTTGTCTATAAGGGAATCGGCAATTTTCTGCATGAAAATGCGAACATTTTCAGAATTTTCGAAATTCTGACGAAGCACGCACTCACTACACTATCAATCATTAAACAGTTGACTGATCTTACGGAATCACCCGACAATCAACGAACGAATTTCGATAAACATGGCGAATTGACGTACATTAACGAAACTTTTCCTATTTCAAGTGACTGGAAATATTTAAATTTTATGTGAAAAGTTATTTTTGTTACATAAATTTGTATTTGCATCGTTTTACTTAGGTATTTATTATGTTTTTCTCAACTTTAAAATTCTGCAAGTTAATTATTTCTAAACTTTTGATTATTTTTGAGATTCCAAAGTGCTCTCTTCAAATAGTCCATTGTCTTTTAATAACCAATATCTACAAATGTAGATATCCATAAAATTGTGGGGAAGCGCGCATTTTGGATCGCATAAGCTCCTTATAAGGATTTTCAAAATCTTGTTGACTAGCTTATTTTCGCTTTTAAACCTTTAAAGGATTTTTATTACTTTAAGTAATTTACTTGCATGCAACAAACTATGTATACCACCACAGTTCCTCTTACAATTTCTAGTTTTTTCGGCTAAATTCCTTTCATCGCCCATGGAGAACTACAGAGGTCCAGCTTTCAGGCAACTATCCCAAGCCTCCAACGAATCAATGGAAGATCTCAATAGCATGGAGGACTGCTATCAAAGCCCTGCTTGCCAAGTGTGGCGATTTATCGCCATTCTTACCATTTGCATTTCCACACTGGGTCTGGTTTTCGCCTTCTGGACCATGGCGCCCACTTTCCAGCAATTGAAAGGACTGCTAAAAGCGCCAGTGATCGAATAGCAAAACGCTTCAGTCGTTTTGGATTAGTGTATTCAATATTGGTTATAAAAAATAATACCACTGTTTAAACAATGTAAACTATAACTAAAATCCATATGAATGCTATGGCTAGCTGATAAGCCAGAGTATTACATAATATCCTATAAATACGGGTAATCTTTAGCTCAGAATTGACTCGTTAGCGGCCGGGGGTTGTAGCTTTTTGTAAAACTTATATAAAATAATGTATATAATGTGTTTGGTAGATACTTGAAAATATCTTCTTACAAATTTCCTTAGTCGGTAGGTACGATAATTTGCTACTGTGCTATGATTAGGTAATTTATATAAAGTAGGTATCATTTAGTCGCTAAGGAGAAAATGAATGCAATGAGTTGCATACCGCCTAAATTTAATCGTTGAATTTTTAGGGGTCAATTGCATTGGACACTGTTTAGGCCTACAACTCCATTGTTATTTCAAATAATCCTGACATTTTCGAAAATATTTAACACCCTGTATATAGCTTTGTCTACTCTAACAGCCCACACTGATATAGTTATATAGTTTTATGGCTATAGACACATACAAATTTAACATTGATATCTAATGTGGATATATTAAGTCATTACAGAACACGACAAAACTAAATCACTCTAAAGTTGCCAGATTTAAAAAAAATCGTGATGTTTCCTCAAAACAAAAGGAGCAATGGAAATAGTATTGTCTCTTCTCAGAGCAGGTTCGGGCCTGGATTGAAACTACATACTATTATTTTCTAAAAATCACCAACGTTTTGTTCCTTTTTGCTATATTGAAGGTTATTGTCCAGACAGGAAAACGGTGCACGCTTTTGGTTCTTCTGCAAACAAGCATTTTGCAAAAATGTACTGTTTTTACGTTGGACTGTTCGAGAAAATTAACATTTTTCATACTTTTCAGAAAAAAATAAACGGTGTACGCCAATGGTTTTTCTGAAAACACAAGTTATTTTCTAGTTCTCCATTAGTTGGGAACAAAAAAGTTCCAGTAGGATTTTATAGTAAAATTCACTGATTTTGAATAAAAAAATTAAAACCGTTAGTGTAAACTTTATTTAATATTTGATATATTTCAGAAAAAAACTGTACCAGCTTGCAATGCAAAAAATTATCTTCGAATTTTAGATTCAGTTGGGAACAGAAAAGTTCCTTTGAGTGTTTTGCTAAAATACCCAGTGTCTGATTCAAAGAACAAAAACCTTTGGATAGTCCGAAAAAAAATGACAAAACATTTGAGACTGATCGAAAAAAACGGCGGACATCAAAGTTTTCTCTGCAAACAAAAATCATTTTATAATTCCCCACTTGATTGAGGGCAAAACGTGCTTTTGGGCTTTTTGCCCGAAAAAAAAGTCGAAGACCGTTCGATTGTCCGAAAAAATTAACGAAACTGATATATTTCAGACACAAAAACGGAGCACGCCATTGCTTTGTCGGCAAGCGAAAATTATTTTCTGATTCTACATTCAGATGGAAACAAAAAAGATAATTTGCATTTGTTTCTGGAATGTACAGCTATCGGTTTTAAAAATCAAATTGTTGGTCTGTCCGAGAAAATTAGGCAAACATTTGATCCTTTTCAGAAAAAAAAACGATGCGATTGCTATTTTTCTGGAAACAACGACTATTTTCTAATTCTGCATTCAGTTGGAAATGACTCGCTCGTTTGGATACCCCCAAAAAAGGTCGAAAAGTCGATCATTTTTAGAAAATAAAAGCAGTTTCGATCCAGTCCCAAACTCGTTCTCATAACAGACAATATTAAGCACCTTCCTATTCTAGAGTGACTTAGCTGTTGCTTTACAAAATTTCAAAGTTTCCTTCCCTTTAGATAGTAGGCTATAGTTCATAAGAATGATATGTATCTCAATAGTTTCGTGTTAAATTCGGTATATAGTTTGTATATAAAAAACTGGAAATAGTTACTATCAATATCAATAATGACTATAATAAAATATATATGATTGCCTGGCACAAATATACTTAATGTATAATATTTATATATTTATATTTATATGTTTCGTATTCTGTAATCACGTGTAAAAGTAAGGAACTGAACATTATGCATGATTTTTCGGCCAGACTAAGTTTGAAGGTTGATTTTCAACGCTAAACTTGCCCTGGCACGCATATTTATACGGGCCTTTAAGCCGCAACATTCAATAATTGACCAAACAAATATCACATTTAAAGTTCGCTGAAGTGAAGCGCATTCAAAAGCTGAACTTGCCTCTGACTTTGAAAAAGCCCAGATCGTGTCGATTGTGGATGATCGCCCCAAAGCCCACATAGTTTTGCAGCAGAATGTGCGAATGTAAAATGCGCGATTCGTAGTTTTTGATTCCCATTTCCATGCAGGTTTTGCAGAATGTTTCCACAAAGTAGTCCAGGTCGTAAGTTTTCCTTAGGCTCTCATCGGTACAGCCTAAGAAGGGTCGTAACTATTTAAAGCCAAAGGTAGGAAAGGAAAATAATTACCCTTATGGAAGTATAGGGGATGATAAGTGAAGGTCCATATGGGCAGGTCTTCGGTAAAAGGGTTCCACTTCGAAGACAGTTTTATCGGTTTGCCTTTGCCGAACAGAATGCGAATGCCCTTCATGTTTCGGTCCCTACAAAACATACTGCTGCAAATGTTAATTTGGGCACTACTAAGACTTTGATCACTATCAAGCGGGTTTCTACATCTAAGCCAGCTAATCATGCTCTATTTGTGGATTTCAGCATTGAATACCTAGTGGGCGATGAAAATGATTGACTTTGCTGATTGTCGTTGGATGATGGTTTAGTAAAGCAATTTTCCCATAGGCTCGAAATGCCGTCTGCCCATCCATTAATTTTGCTGCATAAAAGACACACTTAATACACAGCAATGGGTTAAAACGTGTATTTGGACCTTCGATTTTTTTGGAAAATCGCATTTATTTTTTGGGTTTTTTCCTCTTGCTGAACACTTTATTTAAGAAATTGTAGCAACAAGCTATAGGTATTCGAAAGAGCGAATGAACTTTTGAACGTTGGGCTAGTTCAATTGTCGCGCGCAATGGAGCAAGTTTTCTTGCTGCAATAGAGAACAGAACATGTTTTTTCAATTGTTAAAAGTGGAAACGAAGATTACTCTCAAAACTTCTAAGTGTTAAAAAATTAAAAAAAAAAAGTTTGTATCTATAATCCGGAGTTTTGCATTTTCTTTTTTAGCGTGTCTGAATTTTTGATTCTTCATATCCTTATCTATTTCTTCGGTTTCTCTTTCATTTTGATAGCATTTTGCGACAAATAAACATATGTCTTTTTCAGTTTGCACACTTCTTCAAAAAATATGTTTCTGTCATTTAAATGTAAAAATCTGTAAAAATCATTTTTCCACCTCTTCTGTTAAGTTTGTCCTTCAAATATTTTAGTCCCATCTTTATATTAGACTTTGATTCAAGAACGGTAAGTCCAGTTTCAAACTATAAACTAAATTTGCTTGAATTGCTGATTTGCTTCTAGAATTAAACGAGTGAAACGAACTTTTTACGTGTCAAGTTTCTGTATCTTGCAACAGCACGAAAAAATTAAATTTTATTGCGTTTCATAAAATTAAAATCGCATTAATTGTTTTTTGTTCCGAGTTTAGAAATTGAAACTAGTGAAAAAAACACAAAAAAATAATTGAAATGTGAATTTAAACGATCATTACGTTGAAATATCTAATAAACAGCTTATGATGCAAATATTTAAATTTTAAGTAATCACAATCCACATTGGATACTTCGGTTCAAATATGAATTAATTTGAAGAAACAAATCCATTTTAAGCTGAAGATTAGTTTTAAAGAGAAAATCAAATTCTGCTCCAAATGATTTAATTTTGAGTTCATGCGAAGAGGATTATTTGAACTGTTGTATGATATTTGAATGTGCCAACTTTTGAAAAAAAACGATTTTGTCATTTCTTCAGTTTTCGTTTCTTTCTGTTTGGATTTCTATTCGGGAATTTTCATTTTCGTTTTTGCTCGTGTTTCGCATTCGCATTCGCTAAGATTTTTATTTATTTCTTTGGTTTTGCCTTCATTTTTATGGGTTTTTGCCGCAAATAATATTCTTTCTCTTTTAGTTCGCAACACTTCTTCGAAAAATATGTCTTGGTCGTTTTAGTGTAAAAGTCTGTTTAACACATTTCTGGATCTCTGAAGTTGATTTTTCGAATCTTTTAATTCCAGCTCTATAACAGATTTAGGCTCAAGAAAAGTAAGTCAATTTAGTATCTTCTTTCTAAATTTGCTTAAATTGTTGTTTTTCTTGTAGAGGAAATGAAATATTCCATTTTTTTCAAACTCATTATGCCAGCAAATTACCTCTTTTACCATCGTCTATGACCGCATTTTTCACTTTTTATGTGTCAAGTTTCTATACCTTAATATACGATAGAAATTAAATTTTATTTCGATTTTTCAAAAGCAAACCGCATTAATTGCGATTAATAAATATAAATAATCTATGATAATAAAAGTAGTGCAAAAAGCACAAAAGATTAACACAAATGTAAAAATAAACGACCAATTCGATGTTAAAAGTAAAACAAATTAAATGATGGAATGTCTAGTATACAGCTTATGAGGAAATTATTTAAAAAATTAGAAACTTTTTCCATTTGTTTAATTTCAAGAAATCGCACGCCACTTCCGATCTTTCGTTTCAAATAGAAATCAATTCAAATTAAAAAAAAATCAAATTTGGCTCCAAATGATTCAATTTTTAGCTTAATCCAAAGAGGATGAATTAGTCCATGAAATCGAACCTCCAAATCATTGAAAACTTATCGGCAAATTCCCTCAAAACCAAAGTTGGAAAAAAACCACAAATTTCTGCTGAAAATCGCAAGCAAAAATCAATGTTCCACTGGTTCCAGTTAAAAAATTTTAATAAAATTCGACAAACGTTTCATTTCGAGTCAAAACCTTAATTCTGTATCAGCTGAAACGTTGCTACACTCAAATGTCTTCAGACTCAGTGGTGTTTTCAAATTTCAACCCCAAATCGATAATAAAAACTATAAATACTTACGGAATCAATGAGCCATTGGGATAAGTTAAATCGCCTATAATAATGGCTTCGATGTCTTCCAAGGGTAATTTCTTGTAGCTGAGCCGCTTCAAAGCAATGAAGTCGTATTTAACAACCAGCAGGACTCGGGGAGTGAGTAAAATCAGCCGCTCTTTGTCCGTGTCCCAATGGTTGATTCTGAAGCAAAACCGTCGAAAAATTAATCGCACTTAACACTTTAAGAATGAAAATGCACTTGGTGCTTCCACCACTTACTGAGTGAGGAGAAATGACTCAATTACAGGACCTTCGTTTTCTATATCGAGAAATTCGGCTGCACATTCGATGGCGGCCTTTTCAGCAACTCCATCCCGATAGGTGAAGAAATTGTTGGCGTCCTGCTCGATGTTGATTCGAGGCGGCAGAGTCTGGATTGGAGCCTGTTTTTCTAGCACTGGACTTGGGTCTTTTGGTTTAGTGCTCCATAAGGTTTCACTTACTAAAATGGAAGGAAATGAATCATAATGGCAAATTTGCAAGGGTTTTCAACTACGCACTCATACTGGAAATTGATGGCAAAATTAAGCCAGTGTGCACAGACATGCTAAGTGCACATCGATGGAGTGCCTTTTATTGACCATTCGAGATTAGGAGATTAGGAAATAATAAAGTTAATTGAAACAGCTGCAGCAGATTTATCATTTTCACATATTTTACTGTCATAGCAACAATTGGGGTATTTGGAAAAGTTGCAGTATGAGTAGGGTAAGTAATAATAAGTAGCAGAAAAGTGAATGAAATGTTCTTCATCATCCATAAAATTTTGTTGTGGATTTTCTGCCAAAATGAAAAAACATTGATCCAATAAGCACCTTTCGGTCCAACAAGTAGCACGCACACCTAGCGAATCGCCGTATCGATTTGATGAAATATCCTACTTACTTTTGCTGGAAAGTGAATTTAATGGCGATGGCAAAGGCAAAGGAAGTCCCTTCCACATGCAACTGCTGCTATTGCTCGACGTGCTATCAGTCTTGCTAATGCCGCCCTTGTTTTCCCTAAAATTTTCCCGCAAACCTGATGAACCAGCAGACTGTTGCTCGCCGCTCTTGTTGAATCGCAAAGTTCCGCCCTTAAACTCCTCGTGCACATCCTCTTCTAAAGACATGCTTTTCATCGTCGATTTTCACTGATTCAAGCTTAGTTAAGCTTCCACTTATTCGCACTCTGATTTGGTTTTTGCGCTTTTTTAATTCGGATTCCTCGACCACAAGCGACAAGGGCGCGTTTAACAACAGAAATCAGCTGGGGGGTTGTTATTGATCTGTTGAATGTCAAGTTTCCACTGGTTTTCAGCTACGCTGACAGCATGTTGCGGAATTCAGCAGGAAACTTTGCGGGATGCTGTAATGGCTGGATGAGGCTTAGGGATGAAATACCTCGATTTCGCAGGCTTAACAAACAATAAAGTTTAATCAGTATTTTTTCGGTTTTTTGTTAAGTTTTGTTGTTTTTTCAATTCTGGTAGCTTTCTCTAGAACTATTTTGTGAGGTTTTCTTTCATGTTTGATAATTTGTTCGAATTTTGCGTAATATTCTTGTCAAGCTGCAGCAGTTAGCTTAAGCAGGTGAGCTACTTTAAGTGTATGCGATAATAAACGTTTTCAGAGTTTTTACCTGCTACTGGCAGTTGGTCCTTTATTGCTTGGTTTACCTTCTTTTTTAATTAATTCTATTTATACAGAGTGTCCAATAAATGGTTGTAAAATTTAAAGGCGGATTCCTGTGGTAAAATTGATGATTTCGCACAATTTCCCAAAAAAAAAGTCGACAAAACCAGAAATATTGCGTTTTTAAAATATTCTTTTTCAAATGGCAAGAAAACTGAGGTTTTTTCCTAAAGATAAGTTTTCTGGGGTTTTCTAGGGTAAAAAATTTTGATTTTCAACTCAATTTTCACCCAGGGCCTGCAGCAGATGATACGCTTTAAAATTGCGCTAACTTTTTTCTGATACCGCCAAATTACAACTAATTCCCACATAACTATTTTCCAATCTTTTCTAAACAGAAAAGTATACCAAGTTGGTTTCTCTAAGGTCAACGGTTTTCCAGATATTTACAATTAAAATATTCCTCGCCTCCATCTATTTATGAGAAAAAAATGTTAATTTATGGATTAAATAATAAGGGACAATAATAAGTTGACAAATAATAACAATTTTATGAACACAACAATGAATAAACTTTATAACACTAATAAAAAACTGAGCTCCTGAGACAAAAAATGTTTAAAATGATAAATCTCGAAATATCTCGAAAACCGATCATTTTAGTGATACGAACTAAGAATACCTTTTTTGTTTAAAAAACATTGCAAAATAGATATTCGGGTGTTAGTTGTCGCCTGGAAGTATCAGAAAAACATTATGACGATTTTATAGCGAATCATTTGCTGCATGCGACGCCCTTTATGGGCTGGCCAATTTTTTTACATTGGAAAACCCCCGAATTCCCCCGAAGTTCTTTGTGAGTTAATTGAAAAAACTATTTAAAGAAAACAACCGGGATTCCCCCGTATTTCTGTTTCCCTTGACTTTTACGTATTATTTTTACCACAGAAGCAACCATCAAATTTGTGAATATTTCGTATGGGACACCCTGTATATGGTTTATTAATTTTATTTGCTACTAAATGAATAAAAAAATTGTTTAGAAAAAAACGTAAACAAAATAGACTTGTTTTGAAATGAAAAAAAGCTAATGGTAGATTTCATTCAGAATGCGAGAACAATCAAGGAATCAACAAACCAAGAACTTTCTTTGCATTTAAGTAATAGAAATAAAAACAAAATTTCTTAATTTAATGTTTCACTATCCAAATGAACCAATTTCACTTCCTTATCAAGCGGTGAAAAAATCAAAAGTGCATCTGAAATGGATTAAAGAATTTGGGGACAATTTAAAACAAAAAACTATAATTTTATCAAAAACTCTGAAAATATTCCAGTTTTTTGCAAATTAGGCGCATTTTTGTGTTTATGCATTACATATTTTTACAGGGTGTTTTTTAATAAGCTCCCGATGCACAGGGCGATTTTTCAGGTATTTTTAAGGCAAAAAAGTAGATATAGGCATGGGTTTGCAAGATTTTACTTATCCAGCTGTAAAGTATTAAAATATTAACTTTAATTTTTATTTTTCTTAAGTAATTTTTCATAGAATAACGATATTTGGACAAAAATTGACTATGGCATTTTAGGGAAAACAACATACTGTGGAATAAACATATTGCTTCAAAGCAAAATATCTGGAAAAAGGTTGTTTGTAGCGGCTTTTACAAATAATATTTTTTTGCGTGGAAATAGCAGTGGAATATATTTTTATGTTACAAAAGATCATATGAGTTAACTGGCCGCCTATCCCCATAAACTGATGAGCCAGCAGATCATATGTCCGTTTGGAGACAATAACTACCAAGGAGATGTGCGGAGGCAGTCAGTCAGAAGTAGGCAGTCAACGAGTAATTTTATGAACTTTGTAATCTAACGAAATAAAATTGTTTTTTAAAAAGGGCTCTCGCCGGTCTCATTAGTTAATTTATGCAAAAATATCATATCAGATCAATGCATCAAAAAGTTGTGACTCTTGCGAGGTTGCGTCCAAATATCCATATTATTTTAAAAATTACAAACACACATTTTATTCAACTTTTTAACACCCTCGAGGACATGTGAACTCATGCCTATCAGTGCTTTTTTTCTTAAAAATACTTAAAAAATCTAGTTACTCAAAACATCCGGTATGGACCTAAAAAAACATTGAATTAATGAATGAATTCATTTCAACGATTTTGCGTCGGTTTATGGAAAAGACACTGTGGGCTTAAATGGATGTTAACGTGTTAGTTACGGGGGTGGCAAAATTGTTTAAAGAGGGGGGGATAGGAAGAAAAAGAGGGTAAAACCAGCGCGCCATTTGAAACTTGCATTCAAGATTGGGTCTTCCAAAGTTCAGTTGCTCTCCGATACCCTTTCCCAGCTATGTAAGTACCAACTAACGATTTTCAGGTAATATTTCCAGTTTTAATCGATGTTTTCTGTGATTTTCAGAATGCTGGCTTACTATTTTTTGTTTTTGGTTCTCCCATTTTCATATGGAACCGTCTTGGCTCCGGAAAGAGACCGCGACTGGCATAAACCTGGATGCCACAAAGTCGGTAAGTCTTTTGGCAGTTTTTTTGCAATAAACGACTGTTTGGGTTGTAATAATCTGCATGGTTCTTTCAAACTGTTAATTAGTGAGTGGTATTTTTGGAAATTTCCTTTAGGTCATACGGGCAAAGTGAATATTCGCGACTGTGTCTCTTTTGATATAACGACGAACGCCTGCAGGGGATTTTGCGAGAGTTGGGCCATTCCATCGGATCCACAAAATGCCCAAATTTCGCAACCAGTCACATCCATCGGCACCTGCTGCAACATCATGGAAACCGAACCAATCGAGGTGCGAGTTTTGTGCAAAGAAGGCATTCGCACTTTGGTTTTCAAAAGTGCCGTAAGCTGCGCTTGTTACCACTGTAAAAAGGACTAAATATGACGAAAATCAAGCCAACAAAGCTTTTTATTTGAATTTCAATTTCCTGCGTTTCACTTTGATAAGTTCGGCGCTCCACAATTGCCCCAATTACTTTAGTCAATTATAGCTTTCGTGCCATTGTAACATTAAGAAATATATATTGTAAATAAAAGTTATACTGACTGACTGACTAAAATATTGATGTAGTGAACTAAATGTTAAAGCTTAATAAACGTCGTGTTTATATTGTTTGGAGGCTTTTTTACCTATTTGCTTTGCGCAACTCTACAACGGAGTTTCCGGAGGCGAAACTGCAAAAAGAAACTTTGGTTGTGTGTTCAGTTGTAGCAAATGTTGGAGAGAGTCCGCAAAGGTGCAGCTTGACCAGTTCTTTTGATAGCAAATTCCAACTAACCCACACCATTCCGAATGAACTTCTGCACACAAATAACATTCCCATGGAAAAGGCAACAAGCGTGGGTTTATCGCTGTTTCGGTTTTAGAGAAAGCGATCCTCAAACGAAAACTTGTACAATTGCAAGTTGCTGCCGCCTGAGGATCGGCTAGAGTTCAAACCTCTAGCTGAAAGCTTTTCAAGGCTTTCAGTGGACAGAACTGTATGGAAATAATGAGCAGATAAAATAATGCAAATTGCAGGCAAATGAATCAATTAATGTTCATGAGGCCCACTTTTCCTGGAAACTTCTCCATCTAAACCAGCAGGTTGTTGATTAAATAAAACATTCAGCTTTATGACAGTTTTGAGTAAATTTTTGTCCGGCCATGAACACGTGGAATGGGCCAACGCAGCTTTTTTCATATAAAAGTTTCCAGGTAATTGGTTTAGGATGCTTACTTAGGATGTTTTTGTATAGACCTGAGCCTTTGGCCTAATAGTGTCTCAAACTGCTATAATGAAAGCGTTTTTAGTTGCCTCGAGTCGAGTACAGCGGCTACCATAATATCGGCAAAGAACTCCATTAAAAATGAATTTTCATTGAGGCAAATTTGCAGCTCGTTGTTGTTTTAGAGCCGAGCCTCAGCTCTATTGAGTTGGCAAAGTAGCTCGTTCAAGTGCCAACCTACGAGCCAAAGTTCACATATTGCTTAATGCAATTAGAAGTTTAGCGACTATTTTATTGAAATAATGAAACATTGAAAGTTTATTCTGGTCATATGGGAAAAGTTGTCTCCATTTTACGGCTCTAACAAATACAGGGAGCTTTTTATGGAAATTTAATAAAGCTCCCTGTTATGAATATGAAATGGAAAATTCTGAAAGCGTTTTCGTCGACTGCTTAGTATTTGTAACGGATACCAGAGCAATGATAGTTTCGATTTAATAATAAAAAACTTGCTCAATTTAATTTATTGTGTACACTCGTGCGTATTTAACGAGCTGTAAAGCGAGTCTAAAAATAATTCGTTACAAAGCGATATTATCTAGTTGTTCCAAACAATTGCATTCAAGCACAAATTTAACTGTTCTTTTGTAATTGTTCTGGATAAAAAAAGGTGTGAATATTAAAATGAATAGTATCAGCTGCTAATTGCCGGTGCTTAGACGATGAGAATATTAAACAAGCAAACAGTGGCATAGAAGAAAACCTATAGGGGATAAACAAGACCGTTTACCTGTTCATGCATATTCTAGAATCATGAATATTTTTTACAGCGCAACCTAACGGCATTCTTGCCCCATTTTCAGCGACAATAATTATCCTCTTGCATTAAACCTATTGCCATGTCCAAACATTATTATAATGAGGTTTCCACAAGCAAAAGCGTTTGTTTTAAAAATGAATTTCATCTTTGTTAATTGAATTTGAATTTTCTTCACTGCATTTTGACGGAAATAACGTTGTGCTTGCCTGGCCGATTTTAAGAGCAAATTAAAAATTACACTCTTACAAAGCAATTTCAGCTTCATAAAGTGGACAGATATTAATGCTTTAAACATAATTTCGCCTGCTATTATAGAAGTTTTGGCAACAGCAATAAAACAATAAAACACCCCAAATAGTCACAAATCTCATTGCCTATTTATTAAAATTTAGCATCCAGTTTAGTACAGAATAAATAGTTTGTTTTAGTAAATATCCACTTCCCGGCCTCGGATGATCCTCTTGAAACCTCGATCCGGCTCCGACCGTTGCGATCGGTACCTCAAACCCTCACAGCTGGTGTCCAATGAGGAGCATTGTTGGCACTTACAGTCGGCTGCTTCGTAATACTCATATCTAAATAATTTGGAATTGAGGAAGAATCCACTGGTTTTGAGTAGTGTTTACCTGGCAGCTGATGGCAGGGCTCCTTCTTCGCAGTTCCTCAAAATCACAAACGCCTTGTTGCGGCCGTAATGCACGCAAACTGGATGAACCGACTTCTTGTACGGAAATCTGAAGTCGACGATCTGGAACAGTCGGGAATTTTGTTTAAAACTGCCAGTTTTGTTAGTGGTTTGTTTACCTCGTTTGAATCGCATCGGCCCCAGCAGGCCATCACGCTTAAGATATCCCAGCATTTTTTTCCGTTTTTGTCCATCTGGGACACACTGTAGTTGTAAAGCCGCTTATGGCACTTTAGGGTGGAATTCTCCACTTCTTCCTCGAAGGAAGCGGCTTCGATGATGCTTTGAGTGTCGATCATCGTGGAAATGTACAGCAGGAAGAAAACCAATTGGAAAAACATTCTGCAAGCCAAACAAAACCACATTTCAACAACAGATCAAAAAAAGTCGGGCATTCCACTTCAGTCCGAATACGTTTTAAATATATAAAGGTTTTGTAAAAAATCGTTTGCTTACCTAGTTAGAGCACAAAGCGCTAAACATCCAGAGAACTGAATGGTAGCTAAATGTTTCAGCAGTGGGGTTATGAGGAAAATGCTATTTGGAAAAGTTGATTTTCAATTTTGTAGGCCGCACCGTTGAGGGATGTGTGCCAGTTGAGATGCGCCATCCAACATCGGAGGCGGCCCAAAGCGAAAAAAAGACGCTCAAACTCGCTTGTGTCGTGCAAAAAATACTAAAGAAATGCAGGCACAAAAACGTTTGTTTTGTGCCTGCAAAAACGAATGTTCTCGTCTGAGGGAAATCTTTAAAAAATCTCATTTACTTGGTAGTAAACACGGTCTCTGTAAAATGTTTGTGCGAAATCCTACCACAGACTCCTGGAGTGAAAACATGATGAATTAGCCGAATTTACCTAATCCAAATTTTTCGGTTTGTTAATCTCACCTTTCATGGTCTGAATATCGAAAACTGTCCACTTTTGGATTATAGAATCATCATGGTTTCACCCCAGAAATCTTTATAATTATAATTTACAGACACTCTGTATTTTACATTTCAAATTAACTTTTATTACACTTATGGAATCTCTATGCTGCTGCTAAAAAAGTTTATTGTGATTCGTTTGTAAAATTATTTAGGTGCCCGAATTTGTTTCAATTTGCAAACAGTAGTAAAAACTGAATGAAGTTTGGATATCACTGGCAGAAAGATATTAAAAGAAAGTTTTCGGGTGAAAAGAATTAATTCATTCTTCAAACTGATTGAATTTTTACCAATTAGACGATGCCAAATCAGGATGTGTAATAGTATAACGGCGATAAATTGTAAAAAAACAAAATATTATAAAAGTATATTAATAAAATTCCATTAAAAAAGGTGTACACAGACTATTAAAAGTAGTTTAAATTACAGCCCCATTTCCAAATCCAAAAACATTCTGAGAGATTTCCAAAACAGAAAGGTACATTACCGAAAAACGATTGACGAATTTGGAGCCTCTAGTTGCTTACCAATAGGCCTTAGATAAAAAGTAGCTTGTAGTAAATAGTTAATTGCTAAACCTGGCAATGGCGCGGAACCTGTTAACTTCCCCAACTGCAGTTACAAGTTACAAATTTTGAAATTTGCCACCCATGAATCCCAACTAATCTGTGAAGGATGGTTCAGAAGCCAGGAAATGGGAGTTTCAAAAGACTATTGGATGCCATCTTCCTCGTTATCGTCCACATCCATTGGTAGGGGATTAGGAACAGGAGCCGGAGGAGCCTGCTCGGGGGGCCCAGCAGCAGGCAGAGCTGGATTCAGATTAGCATTCAGCTGCTGAAGTATATTAAGCTGCTGCATATTAGCATTAACAGCGGCAACAATGTTCTCCTGAAAAATCTTCAGCATTAATCCCAGGTTTTGGGCGTAGATCTTCCTCAGTACCTGTTGGTTGTTATTTGCGTTATTAGCAATCCCAGCCATCGTCCGCTGGTTCTCCAAAGCGATCATCTTCTGGCGCTTTTCCTCCATAAGCCGGTCGCGGTGTTTGTGAATGTAGTCTTGAACATTTGGTAGCCCATCAATTACACAAGCAGACAAAGCTGACCTGTAGATATTCATGTCGGTGGCTTCGTACCACTCGTTGGTTTTTTCGTCGTAACATTCTACATGGTAGATCGTGGTCACTCCTGAAGTCCAATAGAGCTTGAGGGTATTTCCTGGCAAAACCTTCCTACCTACATACCATTAAACCCTCCAATGGCAAAAATCATATCATCAATAACCTCAATGGCAAAGTTGCTTCTTGGATTGTACATGTCTGGAATGGCTGCCCATGTGTTGGTTTGAGGATTGTACTTTTCGCCACTGCACATTCTGACGAGAAAAACGTGAATTTCCACACAACAAAATGAAAATCCTGTACCTGGAAATGCCATTAAAGCCGCCAATCACATACAGCTGGTTGTGGTAGGAGATGCAAGACACTCCAGATCTTCGGGACCTCATGGGCGCAATCAGCGACCACTGGTTCAGCTCAGGATCGTACACTTCAGCTGAGTGCATACATTCTTGGCCGTTGAAGCCTCCAGTTATATAGATTTTGCCTGAAAATGTTTACACTTTACAGCAGAATCTAAAGAAATGAAATTTCCAGGCTGCGTGGATGGGGCGGGAACATATTTACAAAACCTATATAATTTGGGCAGGTTCTGTTCCTTTGGAAACGTGAGAAAACTCGATTTATCCAAAGACTCTAATTGCCAGCAGCAGGCAACTTGCTCAGAAAATTTCGGTCTTATTCAAAATCAGAATTTTCCCTTACGTACCATGAAGAGTACAAGCGCTAGCATCAGATCGTTGCATATTCATCGGCGCAATCAGAGACCATTGGTTGGTCTTAAAGTCGTACTTTTCAGCCGTATTCTGCCTGTGATGTCCATCGTAACCGCCCATTGCGTAAATCTGATCATCCAGCACCGCAGTGCTCACGTAACATCTTCTTGCATGCATGGGCGCAATTTCCTTCCATGCTTTTTGCACGGCGTCGAAACATCTGCAGGAGTTAAAGTAGTCCATGCCTTGCAAAAAAACTCATTGATTGGAGCAGGGGCATTAGCTGGAATCGGTCTCACCATCAAAGCCACCAATCACGTAGATGTTGTACCCCACCACTGCAGTCCCATGATAGGCCCTCGGTCCAGTCGGGTCCACTTCTTCCACCTTCACCCATCGGTCAGCTCTGGTGTCATACGTTTCGATGAAATTCGTAGGCGAACCTCCACTCCAGCCTCCAATGGCAAAGAGAATCTCGTGGGGAACGCGAGGACGTGCTATTTCCGGTGTCACCACTTCTCCGTCCCTGGCAGACCAAATTAATAAGAATTGCGAGCCGGTGGTACTTAAGAGTCGACTGGAAGTCGAAATGGTGCATTGTAGCTGTTAAGCAACCTATGACTTGATTGAAACTTTGAAAGAAATTGTTGTTCTAAAATTTGCAATGCCAAAATACTCCCACTGAAACTCCCAATAGAAAGCAATACCTATGAGTGATCATTTCCAGATCATACAAAAACTTCAACGTTTCGATAATCATGGGCCTGCTGGCCTCACAGCCTGCCACATAAGGATGGTCCTTGACCCGTTCCAGGAAAAACTGCGTGTCCAAAAGCCCCAAGCGAATGCACTTCATCAGCTCAACAATGTGCTGCTTCCTGCTGTCCGTCGAGTACTCGATCCATCTGAAAAGGCCCCCTAGGAACAGTCTTTCTAGCTTTTCCTTGCCCCGTCACCTCAAAATAATCTCCCACACAGTTTCTTCGCTTTTCACATTGAGGTCGTCGGCGTTGATGATTTCCTGCAGCTCTTGAAGGGATAGCAGGAGAATCTCGGAGCTTTGATCTGCCACGTGAGCAAAGTTTCGCATGATGTACTTCCAGCAATTATCGGCCAACTTCCGGCAAAAGTGGCTTCTGGCAAAGGCCAAGATACCGATGCAATTGTTGGGGCGGAGAATGGATTCCAGATAGGTGGAGCACAAGTCTAAAGCGCCCAGGATGCTCAGATAATCAGCAGCCATGAGTATGGAGTAGACGTTTTCTTCATTCAGATCCAGCTTTCTCAAGTAGACGTAGACCAGGAGGGTTTGGAGCATGTCGGACGACACTCCTGGCAGGTGCACTTGGTTCTTCTCCTTGTTGTGAAGGGTGGTAGTAAAGAGCGCCCTAAACAACATCGTTCCAAGCCACATTTCCTCACAACGAAACGCTCAGAGGTTTTACCGAAAATATGAGCTAGAAGCACACAGAATGGCCCGGTGCACCGGAATCTCCGATCCATCATCCAGGATGATGGTGGCGTCGCATAGTTGATTGTTCTCCTTCAGCTCGAAAAGAGCTTGCATAGCCTGGATACTCATGCATCGTCCCGATCCTAGTTCCATAGATTTACACGCCGTCGGATTCGCCTCTCCCATTTCATTTTTGCAGGCCAGGTTGTAGAAAATTTTGGCAATAGGAAAAAAACACGAATAATTTAGCCAAAAATGTTGAGTGATGATTTCAAAAAAAATAAATAAATGAAGATGAAGTGTCAGGAGTGATTGATTGGTGCCTATTAGGGTGGCTGCGAAGCAGGTGAGGCAAAAGTGTAGAGGGAATATGAAGAGCAAAAGGATTGAAAGTGACCAACGCTTCCAATCAAGGTTTCAGATATCGAATCAAAGGTGGTCGGTCTTTACATTTTGTTGAAGAGGAGCTTCAGCTTCAGTTTCCCTTCAGAGTAACTTGTGAAGATTCTTCACAGAAGGTCGTATTAAAGCTAGTGATATGTCTAGAAGCATTTTTTGGTCATTAAGGGCAAACATCATAATTTTCAATCAAAGCCAAAATGAGAAAGAATTCTTGAAAGTCCACCCTTACCGTGCCTAATAAACTCAGGTAAAAACCTCGTAATTTTAAAATAATAATCATAAATTTAATTAGCGTGCGTAGGATGAACCGAAAAGGGTCCCGAAAGCTCGTAAATCTTGACGATCCCTCGGGCTGCCATCACTTTGAGCCCCAACAAAATGCAACTACTTGTCTATAGTGGATGAAACGCACGCTTTCCGAAAGAAGTTTTGAGGGGATTTAGCAAAAGCAAGATACCTATATACGTAAATCTCGTCCTCAAAGGCGATTCTCGCTTCTGCAGGCGATCCACCAAATAATCTTCTTCTTGCGACTGGGAATGGGTGCCTGCCATCTCATGGTATTGAGCAGTACGGGCAGCCAATTAGTTTTACCAAGGAAGAGAAGAAAGGAAAACTTATCACTAATAATTTTGGGGAAACTGGGCTTTTTTGAAGATTCGATTAAGTCGTCAAAAATGACACCAATCGAATGACATCGCTCTTTTTCAGCAGGTCTAACTTTTGTTTGAATAGTCGGGCTCATTAAAGCGCTCAAAACAATAATTTCGTTTAAACAACAATTTTTTATTGCATATTATACATATGTTAAAGCATTACCATATTTCTACATTTTCGTTGTTTTTGATAGCCTTTTGTCAGAGTCCTGCAGCATCAGCTCTATCTGTGAAGTTTAATTCACTTTTCCGGTGACCAGAATAATACATATCAATGAATTCACTTTTAGATAGAAATCAAGTTCTTCCTTTCTTAGGAGCTATATGATCAAGATCTTCATCTGCACTGACCGAAAATTCAATTCAATTAGCTCATTTCCCTAATTCATCATCTATCTCTTGCAGTTCCTCGTCAGAAGCGTGAAATTCCATATCTGCTTCTCTTATTTAGGGACCACATTTGCAAACGATTTATAATTAGTAAATAGACTCGCTTGGGCAGATTGGTGTTAATAAATTAACGAAACAAACTATTTTAAGCTGGCAGATCCTTTATTAAGCTGGCACATATTGACTAGTACTAAGACAAAAATAAATAATCCATAAATATGTTTTACAACACTGTCATTAGAAGATGCTCGGCCGAGCCGATCATCACCGCATCCGCATACTTTCCCAATGGATTTTCCGGACGCTTCAGACTCTGAGGAAATCGAATGTCGTCCAGTAGCTTCATTGTCCATGTGACCACTGTGAATGTAACTGCATTCACCGGAAAAGCCCTGATGACGGTGGGCAAAAGTCCTCGAAACAGGCAAGAAACTCCTTCGGAGTTAACGCTCTTTGTCAGGCAGTCGTAGGAGCTCTTGTAAAGGCTTGGCTCTAATTGGAACCGCGATTTTATCACATCGATTGGATAAATCAGGATCCATGATATTACACCTGCAATTTCAAGAACCAGCCGAATTTTAATGCTGATCAAAGGAAGAATAGAAGGTTTTACCTGCTAGTCCACCAGCCCACAGCATGGTGCAAGTGGATACAGGCAAATCATCGTTTCTTCTGGTAAGCAGCTCATAGGCCATGAAATATGATCCAAAAGCCGGGATTTCTCTTAAAATGGTGATGTTTAGTCCACGATATACGCCCTTAAGGCCATTTTTTTGGTAGATGGATTTTAAGCAATCCAATGGGTTTTGGTGCGAAGTATTTCCCACCTGAAGAAATTGTTTTAATGAATTAGATGCAGGGGCGTATCCAGCTTTAAATTCAGGGGGGAGGTTATCTAGAAAAAATACAGTCTTCTGTTGTCTATGAAATTAGGAAAATTATCGTCGTTTTGTGCAAGGGTGGCGTAAGATTATTGCAAAATTTCATGTTTTCCGTCCCGTTTTGCATGTTTCTCGGAAGCAAAATGAG